TGTCCGTCCGTCCGCGGGTGCCATCATGGCCGGACGCGGGCCAGTCAGGTGCTCCTGGGCTCCGGTCTCACCATCTTGTCCCAGCCGCTCATGTACGTGAAGGTGCTCATCCAGGTATGAGTCGTCGCCATTCCCTTCCCCGCCCGGCTCCCTCTTCGGTTGCCGCTGCCCGCGGCGCCGGAGGGCCGGCTCCAGCCTTCCCGGGCCTTCAGCCGCCCGAGATGCTCCTCTGCGGCCCCGTCCTTCCCCGCAGGGACAGCTCCCACCGCCCGCCGCCCTTCCGCCGCTGTGGGCCTTCGGGGGCTCGGCTTCTCTGCCCGGAGGCGAGGCCCGCCCCGTCCCCCTCGCCAACTGCCGCCCTGCCCTGCCCGGCGGCTCCTCTGAACTTTGTATTTTCTCTCCTGAGGTTGATCTCGGCCGCTCGTCACCGAGGGCTTCCCCAAACCCACCCCTCGCCTCTCCAAAATCGGTATTCCCTCCTTCCCCTGCCCGGACGCAAGACACGCAGATCTGTTAAAATTTGAAATGAGAGCTAACCTTTCATGAGCATTATTTTTCTTTTTTGACTGCTGTTACTGCCGCTCTTCTGTTCCGAGATTTTAGCCCCAGATAAACACAGGAGCCCTTTCAGCGGGGACCGCGAAGGGGGCCCGGAGCCTGCGGAGGGTCCCGAGCGCCCTCGACCGCAGCCGCCCATGTGGCTCCTGACGCCGAAATCACATGTCTGCGCTGGAAATCAGTTCAGCGGAAACAGTGTCAGCGCGTTGAAACATATATGTTAGTTTCCAGTGCACTGTAAAATAACTCTTTTTTTAAAATATATTTTATTGATTTTTTACAGAGAGGAAGGGAGAGGGACGGAGAGTTAGAAACATGGATGAGAGAGAAACATCGATCAGCTGCCTCCTGCACACCCCTCACTGGGGATGTGCCCGCAACCAAGGTACATGCCCCTGACCCGAATGGAACCTGGGACCCTTCAGTCCGCAGGCCGATGCTCAGGGCAATTCTTAAAGGTATTTATATTCACAAGCAAGTAGGCCAGGTTTCAGCCGATGATAAAGTTAGTGTTAACAGTTGCCTTTTTAGCTTCCCTGCGGTGGGAGGGAACTCACAGAGCTTACCTTTGTTAAGAGTTGACATACTTACATCACGCCTGGTGCCAAGGCATGGACGCCTTTAGAAGTCGCCCTTTCTGCCCGGCCGGCCGGCCTCAGTGACCCCCTGTGACCCCGGAGGTCACGGTTGGGTTCCGTGCAGGAGGCAGGGAATCAGTGATTCTCTCTCTCAATCTCTGCCTTCCTCTCTGAAATCAATAAAAAACAATTATCTTAAAAAATCAAGAAGTCTACCTTTCTGTCAAAAATATGCAAGACACGCCCTAGCTGGTTTGGCTCAGTGGAGAGAGCATCTCCCCGCGCGCTGAAGGGTCCCAGTTCGATTCTGGTCCAGGGCAAGTGTTTGGGTTGCAGGCTCCATCCCCGGCCCTGGTTGGGGTATGTGCGGAGGCAACCGATTGATGTGTCTGTCTCACATCGATGTTTCTCTCTCTCTGTCTCCCCTTCTCTTCCACTCTCTAAAAATCAATGGGAAAATAGCCTCCGGTGAGGATTAACAGCGACAAAAAATACATGCAAGACACTGGGGAGGAAGGACCACCTTTCTTATTCTTGAGTTGATGCTGACCCAAATGGTGTGTTGCTGAGTTGACCCGTGTGGATTCGGATTCTATATGTAAAACGCTATTGTAAAATCAGTTATTTGATCCAAGAACAAAGACTTGGATGGGAATGTATACTATGTCATCTAAACCAGAGTTGACAGGTTTGTGGCCAGAGAGTATCTCCGATGACAGCATTTTACAGTAAATCTGGTATGAGTCCATTGCTCAGTACTTTTCCGGAACGTAGGATTTTCTAGTGACATTCAAAGCTTTTGCCTCAAAAACGAATATCCTTAATCCTAATTACACAAAATCTACGTGTTGCCAAGTGTCTCAGGGGTTATGGTAAAATTCCCAAATACATAGTTTATAAAAATAGTGCCATAGTTACACTTTCAGGGAGCTCCGTCAGGAGTTATTTAATTGAGCAGGTTAAGAATCACCGCAGTAGAGCCCAAACCGTGTCCTACAGCGTTTTCATTCTCTCAGACTCTAAAAAGAATATACTGTAGAAATAAGATGATAATCATTAACTCTAAAGTGGCCTTCATTTGGTTGTTCATGACAGTCTGCTGTTTAACATGGCCATAGCTTGTAATTATTCCCCAAGTGAATTATCCAGCTGTATCTGCATTTGCTTTTTGAGTGTTTTGTTTTGCTAACCAAATACGAAGTTGATAGCTTAGTCTTCTCATTTTGTCCAAATATATGAAATGTGTTAGATTTTCTTCAGAAAATATTTTTGCTTTCCTAGCACACAAGTTCCCTTTTTCTACTTTCAGTTTGATATTAGTGTATCTCAGCTAAATGGCTTGCCTTATAGAATTTGAAACAAAAGAAAACTTGGAGTTAATTGAAACCAGTCTTATCAATCGACAAAACAAAAACCTGTCAAGGATGATGCTTCATCATCGCCTTGGAAAACATACACTGCATTTTAACTTGTGTTAAATATTAACCCTAATTTTGTTCTTAATTCAAGACCTTTCAACCAAGGCATTCAAGGGAATATTGCTTAGTAGTGATTATGTATTCTCTTGTTTTCAAAGGTGGGATATGAACCTCTTCCTCCAACAATTGGACGAAATATTTTTGGGCGGCAAGTATGTCAGCTTCCTGGTCTCTTTTGTTATGGTAAGTGTCTTTGATTTATTTGGAATTGGATGACATTGAGGATCATGACAGGCAGGAGTTACTGAAAAAAAAATTGTTAGAAAGCATGTTTCCTTGAAATTTCTGTGTAACCCTTTCCTTCAACTAGAATTTAAATTTCTGACTTGTGTTCTTAGCTCAGCACATTGCGAGCATCGATGGGAAGCGTGGGTTGTTCACAGGATTAACTCCAAGGCTGTGTTCAGGAGTTCTCGGGACTGTGGTCCATGGCAAAGTTTTACAGGTAAGAAGAAAATCAGATAATCTTCCTACAGCTTTAGATTATCTTTTATGCAGTTTGTCCTACTTATCAATTCCAAATATATATTTATATGCCATGGCTTTTCTTCTTCTTTAAAAACATTTACATGAAATACCCATTATTCTATCTTGGGAAGCAAAGGGAATTTGTGTGAAATGAAGTAATTGATCTTTATTTACACAACCTTCTTCCTCTGAACCTGTTGTTCTTTTCCTCACCTGACGATATTGTTCCATTCATTTTTAGAGAGATTGGAAGGGACGGGGAGAGACGGAGAGAGAGAAACATTGATGTGAGAGAGACACATCTATTGGTTGCCTCCCGCATGCACCTCAACCAGGGCCGAGGGTCGAGTCTGCATTCTGCCCTTGACCAGAATTGAACCTGGGACCCTTCAGTCCTTGGACCATGTTCTGTCCACTGAGCCAAACTAGCTGGGCTGAACCTGTTATTGGAGCAAAAATTAAATACATTTATTTGATCTCCTGTATAGCTGATTTTATTTCTTTGAAGAAGGAAAGCTGATTGAAACATAACTCATTCTGAAGTTATTTTCCTCTTATTTCTAGAGTAATCCCTAGTAAAATGCTTTCTGTTACAATTTAATTTTTTTTAACAAGATCAACATAAAGGTCAGGATAATACTTATTTGTCAGGGGAGAGAGAGGAAGAGGGACCTTGCATAGGGTTCTGGGGTAATGCAAATGATTTTTCTTGACCTGGATCATGGCTATGTGGATATTGCCTTTTAATTACTTATTACATTGTACATTTGTATTTTGTGCACTGTTTCTTTATCTGTGTTACATTTGCATAAATTTGAAAATTTGTTTTTAAACCTCATTAAAGTATACAACAGCTGCAGGGTAGTGGTTACTTTGGGGAAGGGGGAAGAGGTAAGGGTGGAATTTAGCTACATCTATGGCATTTTATTTTAAGAAGGCAAGAGATCTTAAGCAAAAGGGGCAAAATGTTAACATCTATTTAACCTTGGTGGTGGATATAAAGGTGAATTATTTTCTGAATTTTTCTGTATGTTTGAGATGTTTCATAATGTTTTTGAAAGCATCAAAGTTACATTTATTTCTTTTTTAGTGATCCTTTGTTTTACCAGCTTCTTTTAACTTCAAATGCTAAAGCATATAATTTTAATTGTACTGGTTTCTCAGTTGCACCATTACAATGTAGGTCAAACAGCATTGCCCTTTGCTCTATTTATAAAGGTGTTATGAATACAAATTTTATATCATTTAAAACAGTCTATGGGAAGGTTATTCAGCATTAGTATAATTGAGAATGCAAAATTAATGGGTTTTTTCCTAGTGAATTATTCTGTCTCCTACTGGTACCAAGAGTGTGTTACACTCTGTATTATAACTCAAAAAATATAGTAGTGTATGCTAACCAAATCTGTATAATACTTTCAACATATAATGTATCAGATGTGCTAAATTCCAAATATTTACTAATGGCTTATTTAAATAGTATTCAGTATAATCCTCCTTGTAATTTTTTAGGCTTTAACATTGCCCCAATTCTAATGTTTTATCATCTGATCAGCAAATCATGATTTTGTTAAATAGTTGCATGATCTAATTGGCTTCGATTTTAAGTGCTTTTCAACCTTGATTTGAATTGGAGAGTTTTTTCAGTCAGTTTCTCACATGGAAACTATTTCACCCTCCAGTTATTTTAATATTCTTTATGTTATTCTTTTTTTAAAAATATATTTTATTGATTTTTTTACAGAGAGGACGGGAGAGGGATAGAGAGTTAGAAACATCGATGAGAGAGAAACATCAATCAGCTGCCTCCTGCACACCTCCCACTGGGGATGTGCCCACAACCAAGGTACATGCCCTTGACCGGAATCGAACCTGGGACCCTTCAGTCCGCAGGCCGGCGCTCCATCCACTGAGCCAAACCGGTTAGGGCTATTCTTTTTTTTAAATATATATATTTCTTTATTGATTTCAGAGATGAAGGGGTGGGGGAGAGAGAGAAAGAAACATCAGTAATGAGAGAAAATCATTGATCAGCTGCCTCCTGCATGCCCCACACTGGGGATTGAGCCCACAACCTGGGCGTGTACCCTTACTGGGAATTGAACTGTAACCTCATAGGTCGATGCTCAACCACTGAGCCATGCTAGCTGGGCTCTTTATGTTATTCCTGTTGTCGTGCCTGTGGACTGAATTTAGAAGCGCAGGTCCAGGTAGTCTATGGGTCAGAATGATGGAGTATTAATGATTTTTTGGTGCATTGATTACTGTTTCTTTTCTAGTCACACCCTACTCTGGGTTCAGGGAAAGTTTTGCTGTTACCTAAATGAGATTCACATACACAAAGGCAATTGTCATGTGGTCAAAGAGGTTTAGGTATAGACTGAGAGCAAAGTGAAATTACTGCTTGAAACCAACTTCCGGAAAGTGGGACAAACTTGAGGTATCCAAATATCCATTGGAATATATGTTTCACGTGTAGTTAAATTAAAATAACGGGATTGGTACTACATTTAGTATCAAAAAGAGCTTATGCAGTCAAGAAGACAGACCAATTCAGGGTTGATGCAACTGTTAAACTTTATAAGAAAGAGTTCTATAAATCTGAACAAGAGTTAAACTGAAATCTGTTTGGAATAATGTAGAAGTGACAGGTAGAAAATGTTATTAATGGAATAAAAAGCAAAGTCTAGAAATGAGTGAGAATTTTTAAACATGCCCAAAACTATTACAATTAATTCTAGTCAAAGACCTCTAATTTGACCAAAAAACACTATTTTGTTTAATCTTGATCTTTGTTCTTTTGCCTCTGATCTTTAAAAACATAATTCTTTTTACAAGATAAAGTGTTGTCTATTTTTTTAAATCTGGTGTGACTAGGAGCTTAATTGTCTGAGTCTTTCATTTCACCTAACCCATCTTTTATTTCTGAAATATCCCACAAATAATATTTCCTCTTTCAATATAATCTGAGCTCCATCAGTATTCATGTTCTCTTCCCTGGTAGAAAAAAAGTCTCTCTTTGCTTGTTTTGGAAAGAGATACAAAAGACAATGTGAGGCGATTTCAGCTATTCACACTTAGCACCAGTTCTCTGTTCTTTTGTACAGTGAAGAAAAGAGTCTTGCCCTAATTTGGTATTGGTCCTGCTTTTCTCTGTGAAAGACAGGAGGTTTTTTCCATGGCCTTAGTCCTAGGCTATGTTTTTAACCAATTTGTTTTCTGTTAAATGTATGTTTAGTAAATGATGTTCTTAGATTTTTGTTTTTGTTTTCCTTTTTCTCCTTTTAGATGAGTTTTCTTGAGCATTTGCTTGTCCCTTCAGCTGACCAGTATGTTAAACTTAGCAACAAGATTGTCTTAGAGCTACTTACTTATAACTGACTAGTTAAAATTAGAAGTTAATGGGAGATTTGCAGCAAAAAAAAAAAGGTTTTATTTTCTACCAATAGAGTTTTCATTTTATGTCCTCTCTCAGTGACACTGTGAAAGCCCTTCTCATCCTTTCTTTTCTCTTCCTTTGCAGCATTACCAGGAGAGTGACAAGGTTGAGGTATGTTGGAGTTGATTTGTATGCGTGGGCCCATTTCCCTTGCAAGTTATTCTTCTGTGGTCCTCTTTAGGAGAAGGGGCAAGCAGGCAGTCTCCCTTTCATCTCAGTGAATGTTGGCATAGAGGGTGACCTCCTGTTTAACAGTTCTATTTAAAACCATCAAGCTATGTCTTTTATTTGATTTCCAGGATTTAGGACCAGGAAATGTACCAAAAGAAGTCCCATCTTCCTTCGACCAAGTTATCAAGGAGGTAAGAGATGAGTTATGTCCTATGCTATTTCCCTAAATCAGAGGATGTGCAGTGTGGTGGTTGTAGGATCAGGATCATCAGGCCTATCTGTGCAGTGTCTATTCCAAATGGAATTAAACCTTCAATGTAATTTGGTGTGTGTGTGTATATGTGTATATATATAT